CGCGAACCCGCGAGCTGGGCTCGTCGCAGGCTACAGAGATGCTGCTATAGAACTTGGGAAAGAATTGGTGAATGTCTCTTTGTTTTTGCTCTGTTCTTGGTTTGTCTTGGAAGTGCTTTCTCTTTGGTTTCTCCTCTGGTTTATTTTGATTTTTTCAAAGGGATTCTTCTGCTGTTTGCTTCCATCCTCTGTTTTTAGAACAAATTCAACTTGTGTTGAAAGTTCTTTCTTTTCTCATTTCATTCCGCAATCTACTTGATGAATTTGTTTTCGATTACCTTCTGAGTGTTTCTTGTTTTGAAATTTCCAATCTTTCTAGTTTCTATTCAGATTTTTAAGTTTTCAACGTCATTTCTGGACTAAACTTGTTTCCAAGGTCCAAACTTTTTTAAGAAATCAAATGAGATGCCTTTTAAATCAAACATGTTTCCAAGGCTAATACCGGGTTTTCCTCACCTTTTTCCGTTGAAAGGTTTCAAGAAATATCGATCTGGTATATGGAGGAGGCAGTATTGGTTTGATGGGCTTGGTTTCCTAGGCTGTTTATAACGGTGGCCGCCATGTCCTTGGGTGAGCATATTCCTCTCCAGACTTATCCTTTCTTTACCATTTTCTTTTTCATGAACATTTAATCAAACAGGTTTGTTTTGCTTTGATTTCCATCTTAACTTTTTGTCATGTTTTTGTCTACAAAGTGATCCCCAAGACACTTATGCCTAGAGAGGTATCACCTCTATTCTATCTATACCCCAATATTGTATTTTATCAAGTTTTCAAAATACAATTTTTTGGGGAAAACGGAGCATTATCTACATCTCTACAATTTTTTGGTTGCTAATTTTAGTGATGATTTTAGGCAATGCTTCATGTCTATGGTTAGAAATTGAGTTGTTGAGGTGAAAGATATTTTCTTTTGAGTTGGATATGTGTCTTTTGTTCCAATTCTTTTTAAAATTTAAGGATGCATTCCATGATATACAGTAATATATGAAGCATGTGACGAACCCAAGCTCGTGGGTAGCCTGCGACGAACCCAGCTCGTGGGTAGCCTGCGACGAACCCAGCTTGCGGGTTTGTGAAGAACCCAGGCTCCTAGGTAGCTTGGGTTCGCCTGTGAGGTAAAAGGAAAAAAAGAAAAAAAAAATGGTCGGAGGAAGTGGAGTCCACATGGAGGGTGACGTGGAGTCTACGTGGAAGATGACATGGAGTCCACGTAAGCATCTTTTACATGTTGGCATATCCACATCAGCTGTTTAAGTTAAGTTAACAGCAAAAATTAACGGAATGATCAAAAAGGGGCCGGATTTATGAACAGTAAGGACTAAAAAAGGGATTTCTTCGGTACATGGACCAAAAAGGGGCTTTTTCCTATAGTAGAGAGACCAAAAAGGGTATTTAACCTTAAGTTTATACTATCAAATATTAAATTTAATAATATTACAATTTTTAAATATAAAATTGATTTTTTATAATCACCAAATATTAAATATCTTGATATCTCATATATAATATAATTATTTTTACGTATAATTTAAAA